TCCATTCCCTGATATGTAGATGACATTAAAAAGGAACAGTTTGTCCACATGCAGGTATTTTAAAAGTGTTGCTGTGACAAAGGGAATTATGAAGATATGTCGCTGCCAGTATCTAGAAATAAACCATTTATTAAAACCATGAAATAAAAGCTTATTTCAAATAGAAGATCAAAGTGGCAGAGTCAACTTGACCTAAAGCCTATCAGTGCTACACTGTGAGTTTCTAGTCCAACTCTTGCCCAATTTGCAGTCACTTAACCCCAGTGTTAATTGTTTAGCACTGTGGCCAGGGAGCGTAGAAAGAGTTGTAGCAGAGAAGGACATATGTGAGTCCTCCATGAGGCCCCTCCTAAGGGACTCACAGTCTAGTGGAAGAGGTAAGTGAATAAGTTAAAGTCCAGGGCTGCAAATTTTTTTTTATTAAGTAGTTATTTTTTTAGCTAATATTTTATTTTATATAATTCTTACATCATTTTTCATTTTTGCACAATGTATACATTATCATTTTGGTTGTATTCCCCGTATAATTGTACCCCCCCCCTTATTTTGACCCTAGTCCTTCCTCTCCCCTTCCCTTCACCTCCCCCCCACCCCGTGGTGTGTCTCTGGTTTATAATTGCTTGTTGATTTTGATTTTTACTTTGTATTAATTAGTCCTTTTCCTGGTCCCTTATTTAGGTTTTCTAAATTCCTGCTATGAGTGAGACCATCCAGTATTTTCTTTTTCTTTCTGACTTATTTTGCTGAGCATGATCCCTTCTAGCTCTATCCATGTTGCTGTAAACTGCATGTGTTTATCTTTTTTGAATGCTGAGTAATATTCCATTGTGTATATGTACCACATCTTCTTGATCCAGTCATATATTTTTGGGCATGTGGGTTGTTTCCATAACTTAGCTATTGTAAATAGTGCTGCTATAAACATAGGGGTGCAGGTGCCAGGGCTGCAAATTTAAGTCTGTTTTACAGAAGAGGAAACAGTGGGACTCATTTCAGTATCTTTACCTGTATTGATTTCACAAGTTAAGAATCTTCTTTTTTTGGTAGTTTTTTTTAAAAAAGACGTATTGTGCTAACTTAGTGGAAAGCATAATCTAATATACCATATCATACTAAATAATATTAATGAATGAGACTATTTATAATCCAGGTCACAGTAACAGCTGGTGGTAAGCTGCACTCTCTCAAAAACATCTGGGAGGTGAGAAGGAGTTGTGTATCAGTGGCTGCCTCTAATGTACTGAATAGGAGCCCACAAAGGTTCTCTTCTTGGACTTCATTCAGGAGGACTTAAATATCAGAAAAACCACAAGGCCCATATCCAGCTTGGCATTCCCCCAGATGAGATGTTAGCGAGCGCAGTGTTGGGGCTAAGTCCCAGTAGCCACATTGGAAGTTAAATTTCTCAGACTGTTATCAGTAAGACCCCCTCATTACACAGATACTCCTACCTGCCCTATAGGTGCACTTATAACAGCAAGACCAGCATATGAGGCGTTGAAGGTTGGAATACAAGTACATTTGTATGTGGGATTTTCATCTCAGGAGCCTAATTTTTTGAAATCATTTTTTTTCAGTAAACTTTATGTTCTATCTTTTGGGTAGCCAAATTATAGAAAGAGCCTTAGAAAAATTTGAAGGGCACCAATTATATAAGGTTTATTAACATTTTGCTGAATTCTTCCATGATTTGTAGTGGATTTTAATATGATTATAAGATTTTAAAATATGAGCTTTGCTCTATGATTTATCTGTGGGTTCAATTGACAGAATTTGAGTAAATTATTCACCAGTTCATTAAAATTCAGTAGGACTGAAGGTTTCCATGAAATGCATTAAAGTGTCTTTTGCAAAAGAACTGCTGGTGGTTTTCCTAATAAGGCCTATACCAAAAGTGTACAGACGACAAATGAGATGTAAATTTTACATTTTACATTCTGTTAACAAGAATTGTTTATGTAAACATCAGTGGAAGAAACTGACTTTCAGCAAGCATCTACAGGATGGTGATTTTTCATCTCTTGGGAACATATAATTGACATGAAAATGCATTGCTGCAAGAACTCCTTGAGTCTTGTAATGATGATTATCTCTGTTGATTAGGGAAAACATTTTAGTAAATGGAGTTTTAGTTAACACTTTAATAAAAAGAACTATCATCATTTGAGAGTAGAAATTAGACCCTAAATAATTTAAAACTAGAAATGTGCTTTTCCCTCCACTGAAACCAAAATTATGTAATTTATTGGAACAGATGGTACAGAAGATGGTCTGTGCAAAAGAGCTGTTTCCCTTTTAGTAAGATAATTTATAAAAATGCTACAAAAACATAATGAAATCAGACTTAAAGGCTTTTATGTAGTCTAATTGATTCCACTGATTTTATTTTTCCTCCACAAAGCCTTACCAAAGTTAAATCTCTCCCTTGCCAACTCTTTGAGCACTTTTGTCTACTAGTACTTTCAGCCACAGTTTCATAACTGAATTTGTGAACCACTTTCTAATCGACGTTGTTATGGTTAAATAAAATTCCATTTTCAGGTTCTGTTTCCAGATATCTTGCCCATTGGAATTTCCTTCCTTGAAGCCTAGCTTAAATCCTAACTGTGATCGGCATCAGTCTTCTGTGATATGGGCCATTTTACTTAAAAATCTCCTGTTCTGTCCCATCTTTCCCTCAGCAGTAAACATGTGACTTCCTCCCGCCTTCTTTGTTGCATGAATGTGATTGGGCATGCTTTCTCCATCCTTCCTGTGATTTCTAGTTACTCCTACTCACCCATTCCAGCAGTAGCTGGGTGTGTAATTGTTAGGGGGAAATGGATGTCCTGCTACCCTGTAACATAATGACCAAATGGGCCCAGGAATGGATGCTTAGGACAATAGAGCAATGGTTCTTAACCCTTTTGAGAGTCTAGGCTTTAGAGTCTCTCCACAGTAAAATGCACATGTGTGTGGCTGTATAGTCACATACAATTTCAGTGGGCCCCTGGCACTCCCTGTCACTCAGTTCATAACCCGCATCAGACCCATAGTCCTGGTTGCTATGCTGAGGCTGTGCGTGGCTATAGCTTGCAGGCTTTTTATTGACCGCATGTATCTAGCCCTACCCAGGTTACAAGTACAAAGCAGAGTCTGGAAGGATCTGGGGTGGAAATTTTTCACCGGTATTTTTTAAGCAGGATGTATTTTAGAAATCAGATTTTTTAAATGTTTGTCAGTTATAATCACCTATATGAAGTTTTTACAGGATCTGATTTCACAAAAATTACATTTAATTGGCTTTTTCCTGAATTGACTTGTTCAGACATGTTAGTCCTCTCAGAATAAAGTTCTCCTGAGATTTTTAGAACAGTACATTCAGACTCACGCTTGGCTGGATTCGCTTGCTGATATTTGTTGAAGAGTCTCTTGAACTGGCTTCATTTGGGAATCACTCAAACACAGGGGAAAGTAAAACAGACGTGTGTTTTACTGGCCCTAACGTATTGTTTTAATGTATTTTTTTTTTGTGGAACTTAATGGTGTCTTGGGACCTAGAGAAATGATAATGGGGGGAAATTAGTTTCTAATGTGTAATTTAGTCAGACAATCAAGGAATTTATATATATTTTTCAGTTTAATCACTTCTTATTAATCCATACTTATATTTATGAACATTTGTGTTTTAAAATTATAATGATTCTAGTTTTTTCTTTTACATTAGGGAAACTCCATCTGTATAAAAATATTTAAAATTATTAAAGACAATGTGATTTTTTTTTAAATTTAGGACATGAAAGAAACCCAAACAATTCAGAAAATTCCAATAAAATATGTTAGTGTATTATTTGATTTTTAGTTTTGAAACTAATGATCATTATTGTGACTTAAAAAAACAATAGCAGTTGCCAGATAATATTTACAAGTATTGCCATAAACTTAACATAAATTAATTGGCTTAGTGAGACAGTGATAATGATTTTCCTGAGTCAAGAAGAAAAACCTATTACAGTATGCTGATCAGGTCAAAATTCTTTATTTATGGTCTTATCTCCATATTAGCTTTTTCCTAGAAAATCTTATGTAGACTACATTACGTATATAAAGAAAAAGAGGTAGACTATAACATTGAGAGCTGGGCTTCTAATAAAGAGGCACGATCCAGCATTCCCTTTATTTCCTTTAGTGCACCTGCCACTCACAGACATTGCATTAATATATATTGAGTGAATGAATATTTTCATGAATTAATAGCAAAACATTCTAAAAGACATGCTCTGTCTTAGTGTGGTTTAACTTCCTCTTCTCTTTTCTAATACCAGCATTTCATATCTTCACTGAGTCCACACCATCCCATAGCATCGTTATCACCCTCCCTCTGTTCCCACACCCTTCCTTGACAGTCATCTCTGTTAAAACAGTCTGTGAATATTTTGTTTGGGTTCATGAGTGTCATTGGTGTTTGAATAGTGTGAGGATCCTAGGGCAAAACGGGTGGGGAATCCCCCCACCAGTCTGGTGGCATTGTGTCCTCTGATGTCTAAGTGTGGCATTCACTCCTTAGCACACATAACTTCTGTTTCTACCTGACAGTGAATATAAAACCAGACCCAGATGTGTTGGGAGTGGCTGGTGTGACTTTGTAAAGAATAGGGGACTTGCCCAATGCATGGCATCCACTGTTGAATTTTACTGCCGTCATATTTCTATTAGAGCCTTTGAAGTATCAGACCTCAAGTATGTCTCTTCTAAATAGGTGTGGACAACAGACATACATTGTTTAAAAATGTTTTCACTCCCCCCTGGAGGAAGGAGTAGGATGAAAACAAGGTGGGTGGGAATTGTATGGGGACTATAACCAAGATGAAAATGCATACATTGTGCAAAAATGAAAAATGATGTAAAAAAATAAAAAAGTGAAAAAAATTGTATAAGTTTTAGATATACATCATTAAAATAAAAAAAAATGTTTTCTCTCCATTCTCCCTCTTCACTGTGTCACCTCCTTCTCCTCACAGGCTATGGCCACACTGTGCCCTTGTCCGATGGGGGTAAGGCCTTCTGCATCATCTACTCGGTCATCGGCATCCCCTTCACGCTCCTGTTCCTGACGGCCGTGGTCCAGCGCGTCACCATCCACGTCACCCGCAGGCCTGTCCTCTACTTCCACCTCCGCTGGGGCTTCTCCAAGCAGGTGGTCGCCATTGTCCATGCCGTTCTCCTCGGGTTTGTCACTGTGTCCTGCTTCTTCTTCATCCCGGCAGCCGTGTTCTCTGTCCTGGAGGATGACTGGAACTTCCTGGAATCTTTTTATTTTTGTTTCATTTCCCTGAGCACCATTGGTCTGGGGGATTATGTTCCTGGAGAAGGCTACAATCAGAAATTCAGAGAGCTCTATAAGATCGGGATCACATGTGAGTATGGGGGTCAGACGGCACAGCTGCTCTTTTTTGTTAACCTAGAAGACTAATGATAGCCACTCATCAAAGCCCTGATTGCTTTTACCCTGATAAGTTTTCAGTTTTGCCCCCTTCCCATAACTATTTCATTTCATCATGATTTATTTTGAGATCCTTAATACATGTCTTATGCAGACTTCCCCCACCCCCAGCCACCTTAGAATCACTATGCTATTTCCTACTAGTTATAGAGGCTTTAGAAAGTGCAAAAATCTCCCATACAGAATATATTTGAAAACCAACTTTTACTTTAAAAACAATTGCTCTGCTTTATTATTAGATATTTTAAATTCAAGAAAACTCAGACTCAGATGTAGCCTTTTACTATCAATCATGTTCTTTCATTTACCAAGAAAATCTTTTTTTTTTTTTTTTTGAAGATTTATTTATTTATTAATACAAGCACTGGGTACAATCAGAAGCACGGGAGGGTAAGAGAATTCACCAGAGCCAGAGCCGGGAGCAGAACAGGCAGACAGATGGAGGACACTGCTGAGGGGAGCAGTGGGCATGGCAGGAGAGGTCTGCATGCCATGTGGGACCCTCACCTGGCGGCCCGGGATTGAACCTGCGCTGCAGAGGCTGTGGGCAGCTTCGCAGCCCAGCTCTCAACTGCTGCGCCACCAGGGGAGGCCCATTACCAAGAAAATCTTAAAGCTATGGATGATCTCAGTTATCTGTCTCTTTTATCCATTTTTTTTTTCCTCAAAAAGATTGTATATGTTAACTGTCTTCAGAATTTTATATATGGACAACAGACATTATATGGCCAGTGATTTATCATTTTTAAACACTATTGAAACATTCTGTATGACATGGAAAACTTAGTAATGCATTTTCCAGAAAATTTATTTCTGAGTGTCCCTCTCTTTTCAAGATTCAAAGAATTGCTTCATTATGTATTGATACATCTAGTTTTTATTTCTGCCTCCTCAACAATTTTTAAGACTCAACTATGGCATGCCTTCTAGAAAATCGTAGTAGATAAGATACTCAGGCAGTCAGATGCTCTGTCTGGCCCTGTGTTGTAGTCTTAACCTGACAAACTGCTTATTAGTGGAACTGAATGTATTTAAATAATTCTATTAAGCCATGGGCCCTACTCAAGACATGCTTTGAACAGTGCCTGGCTGCTATACAAGTTTAGTAAATATTTACCAAGGGGGTACAAGGATGATTTCCTATTTTCTCGAGTTACTATAAATATTTTTAGTGTCCACATAATATCTCTACTATAACCATGCCTCTATTGCTGAATATTTAGATTGCTTTCAAATGAGGGGTATTATGCAAAAATGCTGCAGTGAATATTTTTGTGCATTTATACCTTTTCTACTTTGATAGCTTTTCAAAAAGTGGAATTGCTCACCCAAAGTGAACATAACTTTTTGTGACTCACAGACCATGTTGACCCAATGCTTCCTAAGTGGTGTTAGGAGTTTACACTACACCAGAATTATCTGGGTGTAATAGTTTCAGCGTGCCTGGGCTGGTATGGGGCAATGGCAATGAGTAGTTTTGGTTTATGCTTTTTTTCATGTTTAATAGAAAAAGTAAATATTATCTTGACTTTCATTTCATGTATTAAGTAAAATGTTACCTCTAATTTTTTTGTGACTTATGAAGTGGGCTCTGTTTCTATAATTACAGTTGCTGGCTCTACTTTTCCCTGGTGTTGTCTTCTCATAATTTTTGTCCTGCGTGTTAACTCCCTCAATTTTTCATATTATACTACATTATTGTAGAAAATTTTAATACTTCTTACAGGAATCATGAGTTTTTAAGGCAAACTATGTATTGCACGTGCTGAATGAAACAAACAAATATCCCAAAGGCGTATTTGTTACTTTGTGCACAGGATAATGTCCCATAGCTTTTGCCTGAAATCTTAGGTATTTTGTTAGTGCTTAATGTTTGACATAATAATGGATAAAGAAAAGGAGGGGATTTGTCAATTAGTGTAACAACATCATTGCTATTTCTAAAGTAAGCTCTATTCTTATAAAAAATAACCAAATTACAAAGAGGATACTGTATCACTTTGCATTCCTGAGATAATCAGCCTCTTTATTCCTATTATGCTAGGAATTCTATCTTCCCTATTTCATTATTTTCTGGAAATATTTTTCAAACATAAAGTTGGGATTTTGCTATTAGAATTTTTACTTTCACTTTCCTGTTCCTTTCCACGCTGAATTTTTTTTTTTCTGGAAACATTTTAGATATATCAGAAATGACTTAAAATCACTATTTTTCCATCATAGACTCCAAAGGATGATACTTCACCTGAACCAACAGGTTATTTTCTATTTTGGGGTAGGAAACTGTTAGAGTTGCTCAATAAATGGTTCATGTGCCTATTTCCTAAATGACTGCATGCAGGGGAAAACTTAATTTGTGGCTGCATCTCGAAGAAAGTATAAATAGCCACCTTTAAAAATGACCTTTTAAAAAAAGTTTACTGACATAACATTGATTTATAACATTATATAGGTTTTAGGGGTGCATCATTATAAGTCAACATCTGTATATACTACAGTCTGTTCACCATTAAAAATAATTCTATCCTTTGCCATACAGTTTTGTTTTATTTAGTTCATTTGTTTTGTTTCTTTATGTGTCATCACTCAAATGTTGGGTGATATCCTTTTTATTATCTACATTGATCTTAAAGGAATTTTTGTTCCAGATTAAATTTGTAATTTCTGATGCTAAACTTCTAATTGTGTAGTGAAAATAATGGTGAGTGTAATGAGTGCTAAAAAATAAGTGCCTCACTTCGTTCTGAGCCCTTTTGATATGTCAGAACCTGTCTAAAATATCCCTGATTTTTTGAGAGGCACTGATTATGAGGTGAGGGGGAAGGGCTCTCTCCTTGAAGATGACTTTGGGTGAGTATGTCCTCTCTTCCTAACAGTGCTGCATCAGCCCCAGCTTTCTATTTTTTCTCCAGAACTGCACCATATGATTCTGGATAGCCCAAGTTGGTAGAAGGTGAGGTCATCCATAATTTGTTCCTGGGTACTCCCTCTCAAGTCTTAGAATCCAAAACATTCCAAACAATTAGGAAAGTGGCCATGAAGGTGCCTGTCCACACACCCTCCTCTTACATGAGACCTTGTCATTTTTCCCACACAGGTTACCTGCTACTTGGCCTTATTGCCATGTTGGTAGTTCTGGAGACCTTCTGTGAACTCCATGAGCTGAAGAAATTCAGGAAAATGTTCTACGTGAAGAAGGACAAGGATGAGGACCAGGCACACATCATAGAGCACGACCAGCTGTCCTTCTCCTCCATCACAGACCAGGCAGCCGGCATGAAGGAGGACCAGAAGCAGAGCGAGCCTTTCGTGGATGCTCAGTCACCCGACTGCTCTGATGGCTCCGTGAACCATTAAGCTTAGGGCTTTGCTACATCGCCCTGGAGCTCCGGGGCAGGGAGGGACAAGATTATTTTTGTTCGTTTTTATAAGAATGTAAAAGCTGAGGTGGTGTTTTTACGAATATATGTTGTTTGCAATATATATTTAAAAAAGGAAGATTTTACTCTGGAGGAATGTTAAATATCTGAAGAAATGCAATAGGTTCCTATGACAAAGTTATCTAGACTTATAAGTGAAAAAATACTTGAATGCTGCTATGGATAGAAGCAGATTTTATACTTTAAATTGGGGACTTTGGGGTTTACATTTAAATCAGTTAGCTGGTGGCTCAATAGCAACATTTATATTTACAAGCAAGAAAAGCATAGAGATGTGTTTTATAAATAAGTTTATGTGTACTGGCTTGCATGTGCCCAAACAAAATCCTTATTTTTGTAGAATCTAAGTTAAACCTACTATTTATAATGAATAGGTAACCACTAACAATGTATATATGAAGTATAAATATGTTTATAACCTGTATATAAGGCTTAGTTCACCGGTTCCCAGCATACTCTTAATCCAAGGTTGTAGATATCTTTTCTTTTGATTTCTCTTTTTACTAAATAATCAAGAGTTGCTATAATAAAGTAGGGGAATAATACAGTTGAGTGAATTATTCTAGTATTCTTCTACAATGAATGTTTCTACCCTCTTGCAGTAGTATGATATCAGACATCTAAAGTATTTGTAAGCATTTTTCTGGAGTTGAACAGGTAATGTAGAATATGAGCTGTAAAAAAGACCAAGACATTTTGTTTTGAAAACACATTGTGATACGCAGCTACCTAGTAATAAAGCCCAGATCATAAATTCAGAAGCCAAAAGGAACGGATTCTGTCAAACTGATCAGAGATTTTTTTAATTTATAAATTGATATAAATAAAAATCATAGCTTGTTGCAACCTTATGCTTTACTATATCAAGAAAATTTTTCCTCCATATAGATAATATGTATATACTCCTGTAGAAAAACCATAAATGCAATAGTAAAGTGATATACCTAGGGCACAACTAAGAATTTCAGAAAAGAAAATTAGAACCTGCATAATAATTAATGCTCAGTGACCTGCTAACTGAGTCTCATTTCCAGGTCTTTGTGACAGTCACTGTCCTACTGATGAACCACCCAATCAGAACCTCCGTGCATTTGGGAACTTACTCAGTAACTGCCACACCTTCTGTGTTACCTGCCCCCCTGGCATACCACTCCCAGCCCTGTCCTGACCACTGCTGCATTAGCCTCACACCTGTACCCTGGCTTATAACAGGGTTCTTCTTAATTGTATAAAATCCCATCTCATCTCAGAGCAACAAAACTTCGACTTCATATCTCCCTGGTATTCTGTAGGGTGAACTGTCATCAGCACATCCTTTCCAGTGTTTAATTCCCACAATAGTGTTCTGTTCCCCCAAATCTTGGTCATGCTGCCCCATCAGCACGTTTCTCTCTATTCCATGCTGACTTCATCTCCGCAGTGGAAAGTGGCTCTCATGCAGGATAGATCATTGATGAAGGCATGAACAGAGAGACCCCACAGAGAATAGGAACATGCATCATGAATGTGACCAGGTCTAGAAGGTTCACAACGCTGAAGAATATAAACCACAGAAATGTTGGATTATCCAGTAGTGTCATTGTAGTTTTTCTGTAGGAAAAGACTGGAATGCCCCCCTGCTACTTGATTCCTACACGAGAGGGGTGTGCAAAATACAGGAAATGAGGACGTACATAAATAGAAAATTCTGAATCAAGATGTCTGTCATTAATAAGTAACAGAGTGCCAGGCACTGAATTTTCACAGCATTCATGAATCTGCAGAGAACACCCTAAACCCTCATGCCCTTCAGACTGTCTTTGTTGTTTTTAATGTGAAGTGTCAGGTACAAAAATGGAGCAAATTTTGCCTCCTGCACCCAGTCAGATAGAAAGTGTAAGGGAGGATGTCCTTGAACTTGCTTTTTGTCACAGACTGATGGAAAGATTCTGCTCTGTGGTCCTGAGGGGGAGTGATCTGGGTCATCCAAAGAACAGAAGCAGCGTCCCTTCAGGGGACAGCGGGGAAGTGGGAGGCAGGCCAGGGCAGTGTTCACGATGGTACCCACTCACTGGTTGAAAGTGAGAGTATATAGAATGGAGTTGAAAGTGAATACTGGAGACAAGAGTTCTGAGTAGAGTATCAGCTCTTGGGCAGGACCCAGCTCTTGGGCAGAAGTTTTCTAGATTGCATTGATAACCTTGCAAAGTGCCCACCGCTGCAGCAGAAATCATTATTGCAGTTGTCAACCCTCCTGGCCTCCAGACCAGCAACTTTAAAGTGTCCCCTTGGGGACAGCTGCCAGAGCTGGGGTTGTAGTACCTGTGGGAGGTACTGACACACTGTAGCAAAGTCAAGGTTGAATGCAAAGGTAGGGTCTCCTTGCCTACATTCTCCTCTAGCTTCAGCAGTGGTGGTCCTCCAGCTCCAGCAGTGGTGCAGGACAGGCCGATGCAGTGGTGCAGGGTAAACCAGACACATGCAGTGAGGCTGATTCAGTAAGGCATGAGGAGTCCATCTCCTCTAGCTAAAAGAGGTGTGCAAAAAGCCATCCTCACACTCTGGCTCCAGGAAAGCACAAAAAGGTGCCAGTAGTGCCTCAGTTCCTGGAGAAAGTTCCTGCACACCCTTTCTCTCCTGGTAAGTGCTTTAAGGTTTGATGAGTATCCTTTATGTAAGACTCGGATGCTTTTCATATTGCACCTTTGTACTGGGTCCCAGTTGAGTCTGCATGCTTGTCTGTTAAAGTCAGATCCTGTGACCCACACTGCCTCTTGGTCTCCTGTGTGCAAGCCCCTGTGGTTTTTAAAGCTAGGTGTTTGGGGAGGATCTGTTCCTCTGGTGCAGGTGTGGGGTTCCTCTGGTCGAGTATGGTGTGGAACATGAACCCCTAAGTCCTTAGGGAGAGAGATTGGAGAGATTAGGAGAGAGATTGCATTGGTAAAAACCTTGCAAAGTGCCTGCCGTTACAGCAGAAATCATTATTGCAGTTGTCAACCCTCCTGGCCTATCATCTTTCTGAAAAGATGATGCATGCAAGCCCTTTAGGTGAAGCAAAAGGTATTATTTTTTGCTGAAGATAATTTCCCAGACATCTCACTTATCTATTAGGTGTTGTCAGACAACCTCAGCTTTCTAAAGTACAGTAAGGAACCCAGAAGTAAATGAAAATGCTTTTAAGTGTTTTTCCCAACCTGGCAATAAATCACACTTAGTAAAATATAAGTCCCCTCTTTGCCTTACTCAGACATACGCATACTTACTTTACCCACATTTCTAAAAAATGTCTCTGCTTTCCCCATCCACAGAAAAGAAAGGAGAGTATTGCTACCCAAGAGTTTTTAAATTTTGTGTTAGCACAGTTTTCATGCTACAACTTTTGGTGGCTCATGTTCAAAAAATGTTTCAGTGCATGTTGACAACAATTAGCATTCAATCCCTTAGGCAGCTGGTGTGATCCTGTGCAAGCACCCCGAGTTCCTGCACCCGCCCTGGCCTCCCATGTCACTTAAAGTCTGAGAAAACCAGTTTGCTGCCTGCCCACCCTGTTGTGTACTTGAAAGGAAAAATGATCGCATCCTCCAAGAACATGACAACTTCTCTCATTGCTAGCAAGTTTTATCTATTCTAAGTCAAATGGCAGGACATACTCAGGTCAATATGATTGTAAAAGTATGAATACTTGTGGAAAAAATATTTGCTTGGTGACCTGTGTGGGGTTAGTGAATCCAAGGCACTCTGCCACCCTCATTGAGAACTGTGGGTTAGCTGCTAGTAAGAACATAGAGACAGAAAAAAAGAAAAAGAACCACCTCCAGAGCTCTCATTGGCAGGAGCAAATAGACCCCCAGGCCAGCACAGTATTTCTTTTTTATTATTTCAACAATTTTCATAATAACATTAATCATTTTAATATGTTCTAAATAAGAGAATGGGGAAAATTAAGATGTATTTCCATACAAAATGTTTACAATTTGTTTTACAAAGCTTGCTTTTTCCATGCTAATTTTTATTGTCTAGAAAAATCTTTGTCTAAGCCTCTTATTTCCCAGCGTGAGCTAGCATGGTGATGCCTACAGCCTGCCCATCATTTACTCACGAAGACCACACTATGGCTTTAATCTGTAAATGAACCCTATTCCTATATATTTATTGCTAGTTGAAGAAATCAGTTAAGTTTTGAGGGTTCTTTCCATTCTGTGCATATTTAGTTTTATATACAGTCTTTTATGCTCATAACTCAGCACTTAATTCCTATTTCTAAGCAATGGCTAGAAACCCAGAGCCCATTAGCCATGAAATATTTGACCTTTCAATGAGACATCAGCATAATCTACCTGAAACTCCTGATTTACTTTGTTCTTGCTTCATGGAAACTTGTTGCTTTAAATTGCTCCATTAAAGTGAGAGCAGCTCCCTTTTTCTCTGTCCTCACTTGCATAATAAAAGCCTTCCTAAGCACCACATTCCAACTTGGTACACAGTGAAATGATTGCAACTTAGGACAATGTGACCTTGAAAATTGAAGTCTATCCCTTGTTCCCACCCATCCAGCAGTGACCAAGCTAGATTTTCAAGGTCACTTATTTATGCCGGGAGCCATCACAGGGAGAACTCCATTTTTCTATGGTCTATTTTCCCCCATGCTACTCCCTCTGAATTTGGGGAGCTGAGGTAAAAAGGGGGAAGGAAGGAGTGTCTGTCAGTCCAGCATTGTGTTCTGTTGGCGATGCCCATCTAGGAAGGGCTGTGTGCTGGAGAAAAGGTGACAAGCGCTTATATCGGTGGGTGGGAACCCGACCGTCCCACCAAGAACACATTGCAGATCATGCTGAGGGGACTCGAAGAAAAGAGCCAAAGAAACAAGAATCTTAAACTAAAGCTGTTTCTCTTTGGCTATTATGTGTTACTCATGTCTGCAAATGTCAACTGTTCCAGTCTACATGTAAAGCAGAAAGAAAAATGGTATTTTATGAGTATTATGGAAAGTACCCAGTGAAATGATTATAAATAGCTTTTTAGCCAGGTTTTAAAATAGCAAAATCAAGTTTATTGGTTGCCCTTAGTGTGTGACTCTTGAGTGGTTACAAGGGATTCTACCCAGAGGCCGTTGAACTCATTGAGAAGTGTTGGAGGTCAGTGTAATTTCCTGATATACTCTGGCTAAGGAGAAAGAACTGTGGTAAGAGAAGGGACAATGGAGAGTTCACTGAGTTGTACATTATTTTTATGAAAAAAGAAAAATACCAGTTGATTTACCAAATTCATCTGAAGGCCTAGATTTGTTTCATCAAAAAAAAGAAAAAAAAAAAGAATTTGCAAGCAGGGACTGAAAACAATATACTGATGAAACTGCAAATAACTGTCAGTGTAAATCATGACTTTTTCCACTTAATTTTGATTTACCTTTTTAGGTAAATAGGGGAACTCTCTGGGTATGTGAAAAATTAAAAATAATTGTTTTTATTGCACAGCTAAGCTTTGGACTGTCCTGTCTGTACAGGGCTCTGCCTCCTCAAACCTCCTAGATCACGGATGGAGGCCCCATTTGGAAGGCAGAGGCTGTGAACCTGTCAAGTTAGGAGCTCTCACATCAGCTAAATCCTAAAAGGAACTTAGTTCTTAAGGAGCCAGGTAAACCTGCAGGCCGTGTGCAGGTGTTATGAGACAGAATGCGATAGTGAATGCAAAGCAGTCAGCTGCTGCCTGGCACTTAACAGCAAATACTTTCACAATTGTTAGCTGCTATAATTAAAACCAATTTTAGGCATTTTTTTTTTCTGAACGATAAAATGATATTCAAATGTGGTATAAATTATAGATAATGCAGGTTCTCAAGAAAATCACATGTCAGTTTATGTTTGCTTGTTTGGTGGAGAATAAACATGCACTAGTTAGCAACATGGACCTCATGAAACTCCAGTGCTGCTGTGGTATCTTGCAGATAAAAAGCGGGAGGGAGAGACCCCTAGAATTTGGGCAGGTTAGGGTCAAAGTCTAAAATAGCAACATTTAATACCAGATCTATAAATTTAGTACTTACTAAGCTTATTATGCATACAATAATTATTTTCCAATTAGAAAATTTCTTTTTTTTAAAGATTTATTTATTTATGCATACAAGAACTGGGGTACAGGCCAGAGGTGTAGGGCATGAGAGGATTCACCAGAGACAGAGTGGGGAACAGAACAGGCAGATTGACTGAAATATGCTGCTGAGGGGAGCAGTTGGCGAGGCAGGAGAGGTCTGCTGCACCAGGTGGGTTGCTCCCTGCCTGGCCGGGAATCGAACCTATGCTGCAGTGGCTGAGGATAGCTTCATAGCTTGCGTCTTAACTCTTGCACTACCAGGGAGGCCCAATTAGGAACTTTCAAAGCCAAAACTAATATAAAGCAGAGGGCGTGATGTCACAGGATGGTTGACAAGGTAAAAAAGGAAGTTGTTTTGCCTTTATAATGACTGGTTATTAATGGGTTTCCAGATAGCAGAGGATTGGTTCAAAGTGATTATTTCATACAATTTTAAGGAGATGACAAGTTTCTTGTATGCTTCCCATGATTTAGAGTAGTTGTAGCAGCTTAAATGGCTTTGTCTGCTCAGGGAGTTTTCAAGGACTCTCCATTTTGCATTTTACTTTAACAATAGGAAAAGTTTAGTGGGACAGCTGGACCTTAGAGATGGAGGATAGGGCAGTTTGGAGACAAGCAAACTGCCCAGGTGAGGATGACTGCCAGGCAGCAGCAGAACAGGGCACTTGGGATACAGGGTGCTGGCTTAAGGCAGAGGTCCCATCCTCAGGCATCCCTGTCTCCTCCAGTTGCCCGCCCTTGGGCAAGTTACTGTTAACCTGTTTCCTGATGTACTAAATGGGGAAAATATTATCCTCTTTGGGAGATGAAAGTAAGGATCGTAGTGATTTCTTAAAAAGCACTTAGTAGAGGCTGGCGCATTTTCTGTCATATTAAAATTTAGTTGCTAGTATTATTTAATAATTATTCTGAATGTAGAATTACTTTTGTTTGTTAAAAATACTGGTAAATAAGTATGTAGAGAAGTAGTGGGAAATAACAGTTAGGAAAGTGAGTTACACAGAATTTTAAAAACTTGGTAGTTAGACCTGAGTGCTCATACCTGAGAATTGGAGCATGTGGACTAAAGGCAGTGTAAGGCAAAGTTAGCCATGCTAGGTGGTACCCAGGCTAGACCACAGGAAAGGGCACTGGAGCTGGGAAAGATAAGCTGGGCCTCTGTCATGAGGATTTATCTTGATGGAAGAGCAACTGGAAGAAAAATGAAGGAGGTAGGAACAAAGGAAGAAATAATGCCTAAAGCAAGTATAGAATAATGACTGTGTCTTCCTAATCAATAGAAATTATAATAAGGTAGTAAACAAATATTTCTAGCCTAAAATTAAAAGGGGTGCTTTAAAAAAATGTTGAGAAGTGGAAGATGAGTTTCCCTCTGAAACATGAGTTTGTTAGAATGGAGCCATGAAGATTAGATGAGATTATGTGTACAAAGCACCTAGTACAGTGCCTGACATTTGATAGGAAGGTATCAAGATATAGAAAATAATCAAAGTGTCAGCTGCTGGAAAAAGTCCAAATGGGCTTAAAAGGTGGGGGGGGGGTGAGGGATGGCATTGGATTTAACTACCAGCTGGACTCAGTGAATTTGTGAAAGCAAAGCTTGAAGAGATGAGGAGTGTAGTGTAGTATGGATACTTAGATTGAAGAGATAGTGGCCTTAATACTTCCAAGATAACAGATCTGTTAAGTATTTTAAAGTATAATTGAATAATTGGAAACAAAAGACATATATACACCCATCTGAAATATTTAGCCATAATCTAAATACTACTTTTGCATCCTGCATAAATTCCAACTTTACACACATACAAAACACACAACAACTAAAGTCATTCTATTTTATATTTATATAGTTAGAGTATTAATTTCACTAAGCAAATTTGGGAAAATATTGACTAATGAAAGAACCATTTACATCTGCAGATATTTTGCAATAATATGTTGTAGTACATATTTTATTTTTATTCTACCCTTTGTAACTGGTAAAAGTCATTTGTCACCTGTATCCATTTCCAAATTATTTCTCTGTCCAAGAGACCCTGCAGTCTGAACATTTGACCTGTGGTGGCCTTGGCGGTTCGTGCCTCAAGTCAGTCCTGAATCATCAGTCCAGGTGGTAAGACCTGGTCCTAGATAAGTTCAGTTTCTAATCAGTTACCATGAAATAGAAAATTTCCTACATAATTCTAACACAACATTTTCTTATGTTCATCACTATTAAAAGGTTGTAGTTTATGACTCATATATCCATGAAAAAACAAACAAGCTTTGAACCAGGAATTCAATTTAACTGGTTCTTGTTATACAATGATAATGAATGTTCACAACAGTTAGTCTGGAACCTGCTGAAGATTTTAGTGTTTCTGAATCATCAGAGAAAGATGAAATCATGTTTTCTGTTGTAGCTTTGCATGAACTTACTACATGCTCATTCTTTGATTATGATGAGGCTCAGTTGCTCCATTACATTTGTATATTTCCCAATTCTATCTCCATGGTAGGAGAGTGTAAATACAAACTACGGCAAACATTCCTTAAAGTTGCTGATGGTGTTTCAGAGCTGCAATGTCTCCGATTCTCTTTCATTCTTTGTGTGTGCATGTTTGCTTGTGTGTGTATGTATGTATCTGTAGAACATCCCTGTAAGGAAGACAGTGAATTATTAACTGAAATGAAAATCTCAATTATAGTTAGACAAAGAGTTTACTAGATAATCAAAGTGAGTATTTGTACCCAGGAAGCAGTGCAGATTTTAATCTGAAAACTGTTCCAACAATTGCAAGTTAGAGTTTAGATTTTATAGATAGGAAAAGTGAGTCATTGGTGTTCAAACATATAATTATTCTGGAGAGGGTGGGC